ATCACAGGAGTTGACGTAAGGATTAAATATTGTACTAGCTTAGTGCTTCATTAGCTCTTATTGCATGCCCAGTCACCATTCTAAATGCTTTATATACAATAACTCATTTAATCCTTACAACAGCCTTAGTATTATTAATCCCCATTTTTTTATAGGCAGGAAACTGAGGCTCAGAGAGTATAAGTAATTGCTTGAGTTCACACAGCTGGTGAGTGACAGAGCTGGGATTTGAAACCCAAAGTATCCAGTCCCAAAGTTAAGACATGTCTGCAAAGATCCAGTGCAGTGCCTGACACCCAGGAGGCACACACTCAAAGGTAAATCATATTGATACTAGTATCTGAGCCACTGCTCCTGGCTTGACCTGGTAGGTGATCTTCCAGAGACCGATTGTCTGGCAGTCCCACCCTCCCTCCCCCAGGTCAGAGCCCTTCTTCGCCCTCATGGTATGTACTGCCATCCATGCACCTAGCCCCTTATGCTTGGGTTACAATGTTCTGTTTATGTCTTTGTCCTCTGATGAACTTTCCTTCTCAATATCCCGAGCACTAAACATAGTTCTTGATGCATAATAGGTGCTTGAATGTTTACTTAAAAATTGTTTCTCTTTTAGCACTGGAGCCATGAGATTCCTCCGAGAAGTGGAGCTTATTGTTGGATGACTCACCCTCCCTCCTGGTGGCCTGAGCCACAGACATTAATTTTAATCTTCTCTTTTCTGCTTTCATGACTCAAGCAGCCTGGAGGGGGCCTGCTTTTTGAGGTCCATTACAGTCAATTGATCTTAACAAAGGTATCAAGAACACACAATAGGGAAGGACGTCTCTTCAATAAGTGGTTTGGGAAAACTGGATGTCCACATGTAAAAGAATGAAACTGGTCCCTTGTCTCACATCATATACAAATTAACTCAAAATAGATTGAAGACGCTGAAACTATAAAATTACTAGAAAAAATATAGGAAAAAAGCTCTTGATATCAGTCTGGACCATATATTTTTGGTTATGACCCAAAAGCACAAGCAAAAATAGACAAATGGGATTGCATCAACTAAAAACTTCTGCACAGCGAAGGAAATAATCAACAGAGTAAAGAGAAAACCTATGGGATGGGAGGAAATATTTGCAACTCATTCATCTGATAAGGGGTTAATATCCACAATACATAAGGAACTCAAACAACTCAGTAGCAAAAAACAAATAACCTGATTTAAACATGTGCAAAAAACCTGAATAGACATTTCTGAAAAGATGTACAAATGGCTAACAAGTATACGAAAAACATACTCAGTATCATTGATCATCAGGAATCAGGAAAATGCAAATCAAAGCCACAGTGAGGGCCGGGCGTGGTGGCTCAGGGCTGTAATCCTAGCACTCTGGGAGGCCGAAGTGGAAGGATTGCTTGAGCTCAGGAGTTCAAGACCAGCCTGAGCAACAGCAAGAACCTGTCTCTACTAAAAATAGAAAGAAATTGTCTGGATAACTAAAAATATATAGAAAAAATTATCCGGGCATGGTGGCATGTGCCTGTAGTCCCAGCTACTCGGGAGGCTGAGGCAGAAAGATCACTTGAGCCCAGGAGTTTGAGGTTGCTGTGAACTAGGCTGATGCCACGGCACTGTAGTCCGGCAACAGAGAGAGACTCTGTCTCAAAAAAAAAAAAAAAAAAAGACAATAGATAACAAGTGTTGGTAAGGATGTGGAGACTAGGAGACTGTGCAAATGTTTGGAGGGAATTTAAATTAGTATAGATAGCCATTATGGAAAACAGTATAGCGGCTCCTCAAAAAATTTTGAATAGAAATTGATCCAGTAATCCCACTTCTGGGTATATATCTGAAGGAAATGAAATCAGTACCTCAAAGAGATATCTGCACTCCCATATTAATTGCAGTATTACAGTAGCTAAGATATAGAATCAACCTAATCATCTATCAACGGATACATGGATAAAGAAAATGTAGTATATAACCAATGGGATATTATTCAGCCTTTAAAAAGAAGGAAATCCTGTCATTTATTGCAGTGTGGATAAACCTGGAGGACATGCTCCTATGTGAAATAAGCCAGGCATAGAAAGACAAATGCTGCATGACCTCACTTATGTGAGGAATCTAAAAAAGTTGAATTAATAGAAACAGGCAGTAGATTGGTGGCTGCCAGGCACTGAGGGAGGGAGATGTTGGGCAAAGGGTAAAAAGTTTCAGTCATACTGGATGCATAAGTTCCAGAGATCTGATGTACAGCATAGTGACTGTCAACCTAAAGTAATCAAAAGGGGCCGGGCGCGGGGGCTCACGCCTGTAATCCTAGCACCTGGGGCAAGGCGGGCGGATTGCTTGAGGTCAGGAGTTCGAAACAGCCTGAGCAGAGCGAGACCCTCGCTCTACTATAAATAGAAATTATTGGCCAACTAATATCATATACGAAAAAACTTAGCACGGCATGGTGGTGCATGCTGTAGGTCCCCAGCTACTCGGGAGGTGAGCAGGAGGCATTGCTTGAGGCCAGGGAGTTATGAGGTTGCCTGTGAGCCAGGCTGAGCCCCCGGCCATCCACTCTAGCCCAGGGCCAACAAAGTGAGACTCTGCCTCAAAAAAAAAAAAAAAAAAAAAGAAAAGAAAAAAGACAATAGGGTCAGAATCTAGTTTCAGGAGATTTTATTCGAGTGCAAAGTTTACAGATAGCTGTCCAGGAAGCACAGATTCCAAAGAATGGAAGTCAGTGTTCTGAACTATGAAAGTTTGGGATGGTTTATATAGATAAAATTTAGCGGAGCTTAACAGAATTTCAACAGCTTTCTATATAAGGCTTAATGCACAGTTACAATGATATGATTAGTCAAGTTCTTTTTCTTTCAGGAAAAGTATATTTAACATTCCACACTGAAAATGTACTAATAATGGTCATGGGGTCTTTTGCACCATCTGCTCTGAGTTAGATACAGGACAATAAAGGAGGCAGCTCATCTATAACAAGATCAGTGATTGGAAGGGAGGAGGTCTAGACTCTGTTCTCTCCTAGTCATTTGCAGAACAAGAGCAATGAAGAAGACAGTTAATCTACAATCTAAGAAGCAGACTTGCACACATGCTGCATGACTCAGTCTCCAGGGCTTAACTTCCTCCTTGGCATAATAAATTTATAGGACCTTGAAATTTTATTTTCTTTTACAATGACTATAGTCAATAATATCATATTATATTTTCACGGTCACAGTCCATGCTAAGAAAAAAATAATATCGTATTATATACTTGCAATTTGCTAATAGTTCATAAGTGTTGTCATTGTGCACACACAAAAAAATAGTAACTATGTGAGGTGATGAATATGTTAATTATCAGACTGGAAGACGGTGCTATTAAAAAAAAGAATATGTTGATTAGTTTGATTGTGGTAATCATTTCCAATGTACATTAAAACATTTACAATGTACATATAAATCATTTTTGTAAACATATACAATTATATATAATTTTTATGTCAATTATACCTCAATGAAGCTGGAAAAAATATCTTTTAAATTTATTTTTTCCAACATAAGAGCAAATCATGCCTTTAAAAAAGCAATCAGTGCATTACAGAAATTTTGAAAATGAAAGTCCTTCATAATCCTGCTATTCTAAGTGTGGTTTGCAGACCAGCAGCTTTTTGGCGTCTCCTGGAAACTTGTTAGAGATGTGGACTCTCAGGCCCTATCCAGACCTGCTGCATCAGAATCTCTTTTCATTTAACAAGATCACACTGACTTCGGGGCACTTTAATTTAAAAATTGCTGGCCAACTTCCCTCTTCCTCCCTTGCCCCAGCTAAGGTGTTTTGTATGCATTCGAAAGCTTTTTTGAGAGCACACTCTCCTAATCTTTTTCAGTAATTACTTGCAATTTTCTAGCCTCATCTAAAACCAAAATCCTCATCAATGTCATTCAGCAGGAAGCTGATAAAGACAGCACGAGCTCGTCCCTTTGCCTCTCCGCTTGCCCCCTCTCCAACCTGTTCTCCCACCGCAGTCGTGATGATCTCTTGAAAACACAGACCAGATCATGCCACTCTCCTGCTGGAGCCCTGCGGTGCCATCCATCGCCCTGGGAACACGCAGCAGCCTCCTCCACCCGGCCTGCCACCCACTCTTACTCCTGTCCTCCCTCCTGTCACGTTGACCTTCTCTCTTGTCCACAGTGGATTGAGCTCCTCTCCCACCTCTGGGTCTTCGGAACCTCTGCTCCTGGGCCTGGGACGCTCTTTCCCTCTTCCTTCCCCAGCTGCTTCCTTTGCATCCTTTGTTTCTCCCCTTAAGCATCGCCTCCTCAGAGAGGAAAAGGCGAAGGCCCACCTGGGTAAAGGATGCCCTTACCTGCCAGGGTTCTCTGTCACAGACCTGTGTCTGTCCTTCTGGGCTCTTATCCCCAGCTATAGTTATTGCTCACTTGTTTGCCTACCTGTTACATGAGAACGTAAGCCCATGAGGGCAGGGACCAGCCTGCCCCGCTTACCCTTGTACCCACAGCACTTGGCACTGTGCCTTGTACATAGTGGGTTACTGCTCAGTAAATTGCTGTTGAATTCGTGACTACTTTCTGTACATTGGGCAGATTAATTTCATCTCCCTGTATTTATTGGCTTGTTGAAATTATATTTTCTAAAAAGCTCTTCAGAAGGGAATAAAATGAAAAGTAACATCTTTTGTTCCCTCAGTTCCCCTCAATGACAGAGGTAACCACTGATAACAGCTTATTTTGTCTCCTTCCAAAATTGTATAGCCCTTTTAAAAAAACACCCACAAATCAGATCATGCTGTATTAATTCTATTCTGCAACTTGTTTGTTTGTTTTTTAACTGTGATAAAGAATGCATAAGTTTACCGTCTTAACCGTGTTTTGTTTTTTTTTTAAAGACCAGGTCTCTGTATGTCACAACTGGATTGCAGTGGCTATTCACAGGCACGATCACAGCTTGCAGCAGCCTCGAACTTGTGGGTTCAAGTGATCCTCTTGCCTCAGCCTCCTGAGTAGCTGGGACTACAGGTACACAGCGCCACGCCAGGCTAATCTTTAAGTATAGAGTTCAGTAGTGTTACGGCCACATTGTTGTACAACCAATCTCCAGCACTTTTTCATCTTGCAAAACAGAAACTCTATGCCCATTAAACAACTCCCCATTTCTCCCTCCCCGCAGCCTCTGGCAACCACCATTCTACTTTCTGTTTCTATGAGTTTGAACAACTTGCTTTTTTTAACTTAACAGTACAGCTGTCCATATGGGTACATAAGATCTGGCTCATTATTCCTTCAGCTGTCTGGCGTTCCACTGTGGCTCCAGCTGATATTTAACCAGTCTCCTATCAGTGGTGTGAAGGTTGTTTCCAGTTTTCTTGCTGTTCTAAACAATGTTGTAATGCCAGGTTTAAACTCCTAGAACCAAAGGGTATGCACTTTTGTTTGCCAAATTGCGGCTCAAAGAGATGTTGCACCAGCGACCCTTGCCCACAGAGGATGAGAGGGCTCTTTACCCTGCGCACCGATCAGTTCTTCCCCACGTAAACCGACGAGTAAATACTGTGTCACTCAGGGACAAGCAGGACCAAGTCTTGAAACGGAGGGGTCAGCGACTCCCTTCTGTAGTGATTTCCCAGGTAGATGAGCTGGTGGCAAGATGAAGGAATCAAAGCTTCGAAATGCACGCGCAGGAGGAAGTCTAATTCAAAAGACATGTAATAAGTGGACTTGGGTAGAAGCTCGTTGCTGTGGCAACCTGATTCCCCTGCTGCCGAGAGCGGGTTTTCTTCTTTCTTCTGAACCTGGCAGGAGCTCCTTCCCCTCCACATTACTTGAGAAAGAGAGACAGAGTTTGGCATTGTTTTATTGAGGTCGATGTCAGTAGTCAGCAGTCGCTGGGAGAGTGTGCCCTCACCAGGCACGGACCTGGCTGAGCCCTGCCCAGCCGTGGGTGGACACAATGCACCTGGGTGTCTGGACCAAAACACTGATGTCATGGGCCACACCAACCTGGGCTATCTTTTCTTTTTTTTTTTTTGAGACATAGTCTCTGTTGCCAGGGCTAGAATGCTGTGGCATCAGCCTAGCTCACAGCAACCTCAAACTCAAGTGATCCTCCTGCCTCAGCCTCCCGAGTAGCTGGGACTACAGGCATGTGCTGCAACGCCCAGCTCATTTTTTCTATATATTTTAGCTGCCCAATTAATTTCTTTCTATTTATAGTAGAGACGGGGTCTCACTCTTGCTCAGGCTGGTTTCAAACTCCTGACCTTGAGCAATCCGCCGGCCTCAGCCTCCTAGAGAGTGAGGATTACAGGTGTGAGCCACCACGCCCAGCTTATCTTTTTTTTTTTTTTTAATTTTATTTGTGTATTTATCTGCACTGGTCTCAAACTCCTGAACTCTAGTGATCCTCCCTCCTTGCCTCAGAAGTAGCTGGGGCTCCAGGTGAGCTGTCTTTTCTCATACTTCCCAGAGGTGCCAGGTGGGCCAAGCCCTCAGGATACTGTTCTGTTCCCTTAATAAGAAAAGCTTTCCTAGATTTTTGTTTAGGAGCACTAAAGGTCAAGGGCCTGGTGAGCTTGCAGGAGCAGACCTCTGAAACCAGTTTCCCTGTTCCAGGTCACTTGGCTCTGCTCTTCCAGGGCATTTAACTGTGAAAATGCTGATTGGAATAGAGCTGAGGGAGGGGACAACAGATGGGTGTGAGATAGAAGTCAGATACCCCGCAGGCAGGTAAGGCAGGGGTCAGAAGGACAGGACAAGAAAGTCCCCAGAATGTGAATGTGCTTAGCTAAGATAAATATAACCAATAGGGACCCTTTAGTTATTTTACTTAAGCCATAACATCTTTATCTAAGGTAAAAGGGGGAATTCCTTTAACTAGGGCACACACAGTGTCCCTAAAGGAACTACCCTCATTAACATTGTAATGTGTGTAAAAATCACACCCACCAGCTCCATGACAGTTTATCGATGCCATGGCACCTTCTGGAAGTTACCCTATAGCTGCAGTCCCTGACCCCTGGGCCAGGAGGGTACGAGTCCCTGGCCTGTTAGGAACTGGGCCACACAGCGTGCATTGGAGGGATCTAGGTTGCGGCTCCTTATGAGAATCTAATGCCTGATGCTCTGAGGTGGAGCTGAGGCCGTGATACCAGCGCTGGGGAGCGGCTGCAAATACAGATCGTCATTAGCAGACAGGTCTGACTGCACAATAAATGCAATGCACTTGAATCATCCTGAAACCATTGCCCCCCTTCCCCCACCCCAAAAATTGTCTTCCAAGAAACCCTGGTTCCAGAAAGATTAGGGACTGCTGCCGTATAAGGTCAAGAAAGGGGAGGGTTCCTGTTTCTAGGTAGTCTCCACCCCCTTCCCAGAAAATCATGAATATTCCACCCCAGCTTACCATATTATTAGAAATTAGCATAAAAGGACAGACCCTAACCCTGGGATGGCACTGTTTGTTCCTCTCTGCATCAGTTCACTCTCCTCTCTTCTGAAAGAGTTTATTTTGCTTTTAGTAAACCTCTTTGCTTTTGCTCATGTCTCCTGCCAGAACTCTGTCCTTCCTGTGCTTCAATTCCTTCCTGTGCGGAGGGCAAGAACTCTCCACCAGTGCAGGTGGTGGTCTGAGCTGTTATCAGATAGGCAGGATTAAATTAAATTCTTTTCACTTCTTCCCTGTGTCAGGCTCTGTACTAGACACATAATTTACATTCTCTCATCTAATGCTCAGTAGAGTGGAAATTGTTTCCCCATTTTTATAAAAATGAAGCCCAAGGTTCTGGCTCTGCACGCTGAAGTGACTTGCCCAAGGTCTCCAGCAGGAACATGAACCTGGGTCCACCTGGATCTCTAGGTCAGGACCCTTCACCCCCAGCCCCCACCGTGAGATAATTTGGACAAGCAAACCAGGCAGGGGTTGTGGGGGACAGCCCCTTCTCTTGGACATGATGGCAGCCAGTCATTGTCTTCCTGTGAGCATGGAGAGCTGCAGGGACTTGACCCACCAGCTTCACCTGGTCTCTCCACCTGAAGGTCCCGGTGTCCTTGGAACTCGCCTCTCACTTCTCGAATCAGGCAGTGAGTTATAGAAGGGAAACGTGGCATGGAACCACATAGGCGGGTTCAAACCCATTTATGAACACATTAAGCTGTGGACTCCTTAATCTTGTCTGAACCGCAGCCTCGCCACAGAAACACAGGAAAATGGCAACTCTGTTGTTTTGTTTTAAGAATACCCAGGAGGATTAAGTGAACTGAGGAGAAGGAACCTGTGACCTGACTCAAGCTAGCATGCTGTGGCATCAGCCTAGCTCACAACAACCTCTAACTCTTGAGCTGAAGCGATCTTCCTGCCTCAGCCTCCCGAGTAGCTGGGACTACAGGAGTGTGTCACCACACCCGGCTAATTTTCTCTATTTTTGGTAGAGAGAGGATCTCACTCTTGCTCAGGCTGATCTCTAACTCCTGGGCTCAAGCGATCCTCCCGCCTCTGCCTCCAGAGTGCTAGGATTACAGGCGTGAGCCACCGCTCCTGGCCAGTGACCTGACTTTTCTATTAAACTCAAACAGCCCCACTCCCTACCCAGTGGCTGTTGGGAGCTTTTCTCCTTGCTGAGCTCTGTTTCCGGGGCTCTCCTGCGGAGAGGTTCTTTCCCTAGCCCCCAGGGTATATGACAGTATTGATTTGTACCCTTGAATTGGATTTCTCTACATGCCAGCCCAGAGGCAACCATGCCTGGAGTCATTCCCAGGAGAATATTGTCCCACTCACATATATTAACACTGCACATTTCAGGTCCTAGTAACCCTTTTCTATGTGCCTGTCCCCTCCAGCCAGGCCTCAGGGATCTTGCTCTGTGCTCCTCAGGCTTTGTAGCGCTGCCTGGGTGACAGTGGCATGTGGAGCACCATCGCAGAGATGTTGCTTCTCTGTTTCCATAACTGATCTGGTGAGCTCTGAGCCCCTGCCCCTCGGGGGAAGTGGAAAGAAAGCCTCATTTGCCAACTCTTAGCACTATAGCATATTTCAATTTAAACAGTCTGTCTTGGATGACTCAGTCTCTGTAGGGTAAATGCTCAGTTTAAAAATTTTCCTCTTCTTCCTGCTGTCACTTTCCATGATAGTTGAGGCCGAGTCCTCTGAGTGGTCACCTGTGCTTTCTGCAGAGCCCTGCTGACACTCCCTGCCCAGTGGGTCTTCATGGCTCAGTCCCAGTCAGGAAGTCCCCACATATACTGGTCTCTTTTTCCCACCCTGGGACTCTGAGGCCCTCTGGGCCCTTCAGCTGGATCCCAGAGGGATTTCAGGATCCCCTGCAGCTGTGGAGAGCCAGGGTCCCTGTCCTGGCTCACCTATGCCACCGTTCCCCTAGCTCAGTGTTGCCCTTCTACCCTGTGCTTGCTGGACGCAGTGTCTAGCTTGGGACAGGCCCCTCCACTCCCACTCCCCACAGTGAGATAATTCCAAAGAGTTCCAAATAGGAAAGAGGGTCAAGGACCTGTGCTTTTAGCTGTCCCCTCTACCCTCAAACTGGTCCCTCCCTCAACCCCGGTTTTGACCTGGAGAAGGAGCTCAAGCCACGGAGTGGGACTCCCTGTGTCTCTTGCTTCTGCCTCTCTCACAGTCCTCCTGGGGCCACATCCATGGCTTCACATCCAGACACACATAACAAAACTCAGCGGCCTGGTCCACCAGGCCTGGCTTTGATATATTAAAGCACACTTAAATTATTTAGAAAATCCTTTTCTCTCGCAGCATAGACTGGCTTTCAAAGCTATTACTTTGCTTTACACTGAGGAATATTTTTTGGATGTCTACAGCTGAGCATTGATTTTCTCATTCCCCTTGCATTCCTAATCCTCTCTGAGGCAAACAGATGGCCTCTGGCACAAGAGGAGGGAGTACAAAAGAGGAAAGCACATTAATATCATGCAATCTCCCCAGTCTACGTGCTTATGATTTGGCAGTGTTTAAGGTTCCTTCCAGCTATGTAAACTGTCCTCTCAAGCCTATTGAC